AGAACAGTTTAAAATTAATGTAATATAGTATTGGCCATACTATATGATGTATTGCTTGTCTTTGTTTAATAATACAGAAGACAAAGACCTTAAAAAATAATCGCATAGCGCATCGCAATCGCAATATTGGGGCAAAAAATCGCAATTAGATTATTTTCCATAATCGTTCAGCCCTAGTTTCTATCCACCACATGTTTGCTTTTCTGTATCAACCCTTACTTCTCATCTGCATATCTCCTCATACATCTCTCTCTGTTTGTCTCACCCGAGCAGTCATGTCAGCCAAAGCCATCTCTGAGCAGACGGGAAAGGAGTTCCTCTACAAGTACATCTGCACATCAGCGGCCATCCAGAACAGGTTCCGCTATGCAAACGTGACACCTGAGACCAACTTTGACCGACTGGCTCAGGAGCACCCATGGCTGCTCACAGAGGTGAGGCAGGAGAAACATTTAGTGCGGTAATATATGTGGATGGTGAAGTAATATTTTATTTAGCTGACTGAACAGTCATCTTGTTATGTCTCTAATTTATAGACCATTGATCTCCAAAGCACAGTCTCTTTTGCTTGTGGAAAAGGATATCCTCTTTATAGGCACAATTACTTAGGCTGGCAGCTGAGCGCTCTCTTGGTGCTTGTTAGCTGAAATCACAGACAGAGGAGGAAACCATCAGTTCTGTTCCATACTTGGTGGAAATGGGGCAAAGTAAAAGCACAAGAAAAAAAGAAGACGTAGAAAAAAATTCATATTTGCACCACCAGAAGCCAAATGTTGAGCTGGGTTTTGCATTTTTGCACAGGTTCTCCAGGCTTCCAGTTTGCTCTTCTGTTACGTACATAGACAGCTATCATATCAGTTGATTTAATTACTCTGTTGCTCATCTTGCTCGATGAAATGTCATTCTCTGTTTGCCTCCCTCTCTGCTGATGGATTTTATCTGGAAGGTATTAGGAGGATGCTTAGGGCAGATCCACAGTGATGTGTCCTGCTGCAGAATTGATTCAGAAATTGCATTAACGTTCACCCTCAGCCCTCTCCTCATTTGCTCACTGGCAAGCACCCAGATAGTAATGGCTCCATTGTCATAAGTCATTCTTTTCATCTGAAGTAAGAGGAACTGGGTGATGCCAGTAGGGGTTTTATGTAATTTTTCAATTGCATCGTATGGGATGGTTGGTAGATGAGAGATAATTTCTCAAATACATGGCACCTCATCGTTCAGGTACTAAATACTTGGGATTTCCAGAGCAGTAAGGAATTGTTTAGCAATCCTATAGAAAACATACCTGCAGTCTTGTGGTCTGAAATAAAATGAACTGAGGAAAACAGTGTGTGTTTTATCACTGCAACATGAATATGTCGGCCCCTATCCATGGCTTTTCCATTCATTAATTCACTTTGAAACATTTGGCTTACACTGAAAGCAGAATTCATTCAGGACTGCAAATAACAGCCCCAGATTTTACCAGTGATTATGCATTCTACTGTTTAATAGATGTAGAAAGCATCATAAAATTCATGATTCATAAATTATAATTCCCAGAAGGCAACGATTACATCTTTCTTTTTCTTTTTTTTTTCTTTTTTTTTTTTGGAAGATTGATAAAAGTTAAAATTGCACTGAATAAACTTGAGATGGCATAAAGATAGGCGACATCAGACTCAGTCAGATTCAGACATCAGACTCCATCCTGTTTTTGCACACCTGCCACCACACAAGGTGCTTAGCTCAATAAGTGCAGACTTCCAAACCTCCTGTTATTAAAATCAACACAAAACCTGCGCCGGCAGGTTCGTGGCATGGGTGTTAAGCAGCTCCCGTAGGTAATGGGTATGTGGCTCAGTACTTTTACATTAAGAATCAGATTTTGGGGGTTTTTTTGGGGTCATTTTTACCATTGCACTGGTGTCAAATCTCATATTTATGCTGTTAAAATGCATTAAGTGGTACCTCTAGAAACCTCTCCAGCTTTAATATTTTCAATTAGCTCCTTTAAAGTAATATTTACATACTAGTATAAAAGCAGAATGACTACAGATTAAATTAGAACATTTACTTTAGACTTAGCTTTTCAAACTGAAAAGGTCAATTTGATGAATTCATTCAAAGCTTGCTGATAATATTTTTTCCCTTCCTCCTTCAGAGACTGGTGGTGAAGCCGGACCAGCTCATCAAGAGACGAGGCAAGCTGGGTCTGGTTGGCGTCAACCTGGACCTAAATGGCGTCAAAGAGTGGCTCAAACCCCGCCTTATGAAAGAAACCACAGTACGTCATCCACTCTCTGCCTCTCTGCTGTCTCTCAGGCAACTCCCTCCACCCACCCTTCTGCTTGAGAGCGTGCATTTTGCTGAACCGTCCTCCAGTCAATATTATCCCAGTGTTTTTCTTTTCCCCTGTTTTTCCCTTCTTCTTTCCCCTTTCTCTTACCCTCCTTCCCAGTTTTCCTTGCATGTGCCTGGTTTATGTTTATTCCTCCCCTGATGCACGTTTGCCTAAACAGCTGCCCAGTTTGTTATTGACTTCATTGCTAGCCTGCTGGTATTAAATCAATCCAGTCAGCTGAGGCAAGTGCTGCCACTGAAGAAACACTCACTCCATCAACATAGCACTGAGACGCCGCTTTGCCTCATAAATCCAGAAGTGAGTTACGGAGAGACTGGGTTGGTTCATAAAGCACTGAAGAAGAGTGTGTGTAGCACTGATACTGCATATCTTCTTGCAAATTAGGTGACAGTGTCAGCAGTGCTACGGGCTGTAAATAAGAATAAATGCAGCAGTAGTAATATACCTGCACTTTTTTTTGGCCCCCCCAACAATAAAGGTTGTTTCTTTAACAAGAGCATCCGAGGACACGCACCCTAACGTTCACATAGAAAGGCGCACACCCCTAACTGTACCTCTATAGTTTCCACCTTTTTCTTTACAACCTGCTCTTTATCTCTGCATGTCAGAGGTCAACTGAAACCAAATCCACCTATATAAAATCACCCCATCAGACACACGGTATTTTCCTCAGCACTTCACTACCGCAAGGTATATCATTTTAATTTTTTTTTTTCAGACCCCAGACACAGCGGTGTGAGGTAGTTAGCACACATTTTGGCTATGTAGAAAACATCGTTTGTTTGGAATCAGCCGAGAGGTAGAATTACTATATATTACTACTTGCAGCCACTGCTGCTCTGTTGATGGTCTGTGCAGTGTTTCAGTTTTCTGGGCCATGTCATCTTTATTGTCCTCTCCCGAGGAGAAGTGTAATTCAGTAGAGTAATCATTTTAACTGGATGAAGTAATTTTGCAGATAAATTACCTTCACTAGTACAAACATGTATATTTTATTCATATGTCATTTACTTCTTTTGCCCTCAAAATGCACACAGTGATTGCATATTATTAAAATACTGGCACTGACCAGTGCTACCCCTCAGCATCCTACTGTAGAAACAGCTATAGCATCGATTTCAGAACCCTACGTCTCCTTGTTATTACATTAACGCATTCACAACGTTTTAGCAAACCTGACCTTTGACCTCTGCTCTTTAGTTCAAGGTCACTTAGATTCCAACTTGTCTGAGATTTTTAGTGGATAAATCTATGGCATCAATTTGAAGCTCCCATGTCATTTCGTTGTTTGTTATCACATTCACAGACTTAGACATCTACGCTGTCCGCCCTCCCGCGGACATTTTAACATTAACTCTTCTGATCTCATATTTTCTGATGCTTGTCTTCCTCTCTGACTATTTCAATGAAAAAGTAAGTGGTGCTGTTTACAGGAACAACACCCATACTAGATTAACTTCCTCAACATCACTTCTAAATAAATATATCCTGTCACTTCCTTTATGATGCTCACACTTTGCTTGCCCACACGTCTTCAGTTTTTTCAGTTAGTATTTAATGTTTTGTGGGGTAATAGTGACATAAGTGGTTAGGTTGAAAAATTCAGGTACAATATGACATTCTACAAAGGCATTGCTTTCTATTTTTCTTTATCAGCCTGTTTCATATTTGCCACTTTATTTATCTGAGTATAAGCTACTGTGAGTTTTTCAATCATTTTCACTACTGTCATCAATCTTTTCTTTTTATTTCTCCCCTTGAAAATGGCAGCTTTCACCCTTATTATATGTATTTTTTTTTTCTTTCCTCCACGGCTGGTTGCTCTCAGCCGGTCCCTGGTTGCGTTGCGCCTGTTGGCCTTTAACAGAAGAACAGTGACAGCTTTTACTGAATGAGCTGTGGCTGTGTTAGCACTCTATGCCTGCAGTTCTACATGAGAGCATTTCCTTTTTTGTCATTTAAAATGTCAGTTCCTTCATTCACAGTGCTATTTCTGCACTTTATCACTTTTAATTTCATGTACATATATGTCTGCTTCTCCCACAGTAAATTTATCTTTAAATTGGAATTAGGCAGTAATTAAACATCTGTTGTTTTCCATAATAGATAGATATAGACCATGCTATAATGTGTTTTAACCCATGTGAGCTGCTCCCACACTATATATATATATATCTATATATATTATTATTATTATTATTATTAATTGTGTGTATATATATATATATATTTAATTTTTTTTTTTATTTTTTTTTTTTAATTGGTGCTCCCTAAGAAGATTATTATTGTGTTAATGACTTGCAGGTGGGAAAAGCCAAGGGTGTTCTCAAAAACTTCCTCATTGAGCCATTTGTCCCACATAAGCAGGTAAAATAAATTCCTACCTTCTTTATATCTTAGCCTATTCATATCGTATTACTACAGATGCTAAATCAAATATTTAAAGTATTCAAGAAATATAATGGACAGATTTGTGAACTTTATCCATTGGTCAGGAGGAGGAATTCTATGTGTGCATATACGCCACTCGAGAAGGGGACTATGTGCTGTTTCACCACGAGGGCGGGGTGGATGTAGGAGATGTCGACGCCAAGGCACAGAAGCTACTAATTAAGGTGGATGAAAAGATCAGTGAAGACCTGGTGAAGAAAGACCTGCTGACTCATGTCCCCAATGACAAGAAAGTGTAAGTGGGATAGAAATGGTAAAGGGAGTGCATGTGCAGAATCTTGATGTGTGCAGGGTAGACAAAGACTGGGAGTGGACACAGTATGTACAGTTTATGAAAATGAGCATGAAACTCAGCATTAGTTAGAATTTGAATTTTTTTTTGCATATTACAGACTAGACTGGGGTTTCTATTATTGTGTACTCTGTCAGTTTCTGCATATTTAGCCTTTAAGGAAGGCTAAATATGTTCTCTTGCAGGAGTAATATTGTATATTGTCTTTACACAGTCTCATCCTCACAGAATAAGCAGCATCTTTGTGAAACCTGTTTAAAAACTAATACACCTTTTACATGATTAAATTGTTTTTTACAGGAAGCCTTTACCTTATTTCGTAGTAAGTCCGCACAAAACAGTATGTGCACTTAAACAAGAGAACAATTAAACATTTATAGACCTTCTCATATTAAAAAAGACAACATTACTGAATAAAAACATTGCAAAATAATATTTTATTAACAATTTTATGTTCATTAATACACCCTGTCACCCAAACATTGATGTATTCATCACTAAACTGCTAAAAATAGAAGGAACTACTGACCAACAGGGAGGAGCAGCAAATAAATTAAGCTGGAGAGAGCACTTTAATATTGGCAGTAAATGTGGGGGGAGCAGTACACGGGCAGAGGGTTTCCATTTGCCCATTAGACAAATGACAAACTCCCTCCTTGGCTTTGCGTTTCTTCGATCAGCCTCCACCTCCCAGCCTTTTTTTTTTTTTTTTTTTTTTAAACGCTACAGCCACATTCAGAACACGTCCACTTATTTTGATGGGAAGGATACAGTGGCTGACCCTCCGCCAAACCCTCTTATCCATCTCTTCAGCATTGCTCTTGTGATGGCAGATTCTGGCCGTCTCACTGTCTTGGCTGACATTGAAGAAGCCATCCCAGAAATCACTCTGCCAGCCCCAGCTCACCTCCTCACCCCCACAAACACTTTTTTTCCTCACAGTCTGGACTCAAAACAAAACCTGCATTTAGCTAGCAGACATAAGAAGCTGAGTCACTTGGGGTTTCGGTCATTCTTTTCCCCCCACGGGCCACTCGACGACCTGACAAAAGGCTGATACGGGTACAGAGGCTCAGAGCTGCCTGCAGAACTGACAGACAGGAGAGGAGAGCAAAGCACTACCTCCCCTACAGCAACCTCTCACTTCTCTGTTTTGACATGTGATGGAGAAGGCAAATTAGATTGTTTGCATGCAGCTCCTGTTGTGTATATTTATAGCATTATTGTTAATATGCAGAGGATAATTTGTTTTGCAGATTAAAGATAAAAATAGTTAGATTCAATTCAAGAAATTGAATACAGACCATAGAAACTGTGCTTTGCATGTGAATGTTTTGCAGGTTTTACATTTTTTTTGTCATGGAGATTTTGATATTCAAAAAGAGATGGATTCACAAAGATGAGTCCTTTTGCAAAGTTTTCATTGCTGTGTGTCATAAGCATACTAAAGGGACTCATGGGAATCAGAGTCTACCTAGGCAAAGATCATAGACTGTACTGTGTATAACAGATGGGCCCAGTCTCATTTTCTCCCTCACATCTGCCATCTTTTATGATTTGCCACAGGTGGATCTGACTGAAATAACATGAATGACCCATGCATCTGTATCACAAGCATGGAGACAGAGCACAGGAGGGAAAAACAGCTGGCTTCACAATATGCAACCCAGCTCTAGAACTCTGTTTCACTATCGATTCACAAGCTTGTGACCACAAATAAATTTCACTATCAAAGGATACTTTTAGCACCCTATTCCTAATTATATTTTGCTACCAAGATGATCTAATTAGTTAAGAATTTTTTTAAACATAATAAAATCACCACATAAATAGATCATACAGTCATCCATGATGCAAATTCTATACCTTTAAAATGCAATGTGTAAAAACTAAGTATAATTAATGTCAGTATAAAGGAGTTTTCCTTTTCTGTTTTATCCTGTTTGTGATTTTGCAAAAAGCACAGCTGTTTGCTTCCTCAGCTTACTTCTGTTGGTTGTGACTTCCACCACACTGCACCTTCATGCAATACAAAGTCCATGGGAAGGGCAGTGCAGTGTTTCCTCCTCTCTTTTTGAATGGCTAATAATTAATTGCCCTCTTTTTCTCTATCCTGCTTGACTGTCTCATTTATTATAAGTAGGACTATGATTTACAAGATGAACATCTTGCAGATTAGATTAAATGAGGTTTCAGATTTTACACCTGGCAGCCTGTGTCTGTCATTTAATTATACTGTCTGTGGCAAAGGGTAAAGTCATGCCCTCATATTTATACTTTGTAGTCCTTCCTTATCTAAACATTCTGTGGCTTGTATCAGTCATGCTTCATAGAATAGATTTAAAAGACATGAGTCACCACTAATATAATAATAATAAAACCTTATTATACTGGGGGAAACAAGGCGTCAGTGACAACTCTAGGGAATTTTTCTTCATAATAAATTGGCTGTAGTGTATTTAGTTGGCAACTTTTCTTCTTCAAAGCTAGTCTTTCAAGCTATTACACTCAAGTAAGTGACTAAGAGCTTGAGCTAGCCCAAGATTTGTAGCCAGCAATTTGTTTTATATCAGTGGATTTTTCATGTATTTAATTTCCCCCCCCTATTTCTAATGTGATTGTCTTGTATTGTGCATCACGGCATCCAGACATCTCCATTTAATTCAGGCACTGCTGCAACCAATCCAAAAATCAGGCTTTTATACACTGAACTTATTGTTTCTCTCTCTCTCTCTTTTTCTGCAGCATCCTGGCCAGTTTCATTGTTGGACTTTTCAACCTGTATGAAGACCTGTTCTTCACATATCTGGAGATCAACCCTCTGGGTAGGGTTTTTTTTTTTCTTTCTTTGATTTTCTCAAGTCCACAATAACATCTCAAACTATATCTGAACAGGCTACTGTTATAGCATCTACACTTTATTCTTGCACCAGCTTATTAATATGTTATCAGGTTGTAAAATTGGAAAGGGGACATCAAAAGGAAATTAGAGAGGAAAGCATCACAAAAAAATCATCATGAAACACACATTTTTGACACAGAGGGGGGAAAAACATTAAATAATACATGCACTTTCTGTTTGATGAAGGCAGCATGTGTTTGCAAAGATGTAATTAGTAACCAGTACATGCCCTCTGGTAGTTTTTCCTGTTGATGTGGTGTAAGTTAAAGGATGTATAATCACTGTTTTTTTTAAATGTGGGTTTTATTATATCCAGAAAAGACAAATTATATGGAAAAATGCTCTATCATGAAAACAGGCTATTTTTAGACATAGGTGAGCCCACAAAAGATGTCAGCTGAACAGATCTTGAAAATAATACTTAACGAAAGAAGACCTTAATCAAACAGACCTAACCAAATTCAGTTCAACTCAGTTTTATTTAAGTAACCCCAAATCACAACAACAGCGTCTTATGGCACTTTACATGGTAAGGTAAAGACCCTACAATAATGCAGGGAAAACCCCAACAATCAGATACCCCCTATGAGCAAACACTTGGCAACAGTGGGAAGGAAAAAAAACCCTTTTAAAAGACAGAACCAAGCTCAGGGAGGGGGAACTATCCACCATGACTAGCAGTGGAAACCACAGGGACTAAAAAGTAAATTTAATGTAAAGAAACCACATTCACTTAATGCGGTCTCAGCAGATGGTTACGTTCAATTGGTTGGCATTTAAAACAGCTTCACCCTTAGCCTCCTCCTTTGTTCAAAATAAGGCGGAGTGCATCAACAGACAAGTAACACAAGAAAACCGAGGAAAAAAATGATTCATGTATCTTATATAAATCAATGACAAAACAATATAAACCAAATGTGGGTGCCATCATTTAGAATACAGTGTAGTATTTTAATGTGTATTAAAGCACATTAATCATACTTAATTAAATCAAACTAATCATTTGCTATACAGCTTCAATGACTGCATGTCACAATAATGTGGGAGTGTAAGAACTTAAATCTGTATCTGATTTATATGATTGTGGTGTGTGTTTAATTACAAGATTATTTCTAGTTTATACTAGCATGCTGGAGTATACGTTTTAACATTACATCTTGACATCTCCCCTTTTAGTGGTCACAAAAGATGGAGTTTATGTGCTGGACATGGCCGCTAAGATCGACGCAACAGCTGATTACATCTGCAAGGCCAAGTGGGGAGATGTGGAGTTTCCTCCACCGTTCGGCAGGGAGGCTTATCCCGAGGTGAGGGGAGGTCTAGAGGGACAGAGGTAGAAATGCATCAGAGTTATAATTGTGACCTCTTGAGACTGTTTCTTATTATTACTCATTAGCTTTTTATCAGAGGTACAGTAGAACATCCATCACCTTCATCATTTCATAAATTGTGCCTTCCCAAACTAAAATAATGGCACTGTTTCAGTTAATTAAAATGTCCTAGACCTCTTGTGATGGCCTTCCTCAGTACTTTAAAGGTAAGAAGAAGGGGATAGTGTTAACTGCGATGGATCCTGTAAACCTGTTTTTAACCTGAAGAATAAATTGTATTTTTTTTTAAATGGGTTTAAACAGGTTAGCTCCTGTATAATTATTTAGAAACAGTGGTATCGTCAAACATATTCACACGTAAAAATACTGTAGGTCTCACTTTGGAGAGGAAACGTGTCTCCAGAAAAGATTGCCTGGGCTGCAACATGTGCATAACGATTTGGAGAAAATAAATAAATTTACCCCATAGATGCATGAAATGTTCTGCTTTATTTGTTGTGGGAGCTATATTTATAATAAATGAAAGACCTATAACATGAAAGATTGTTTCAATAATTAGAAGATGAATATGACTGATTATTGTACTTTTGAATGACACTGACAGAACTTAATATTTAATGTAGTGAGCTTGTAAATGGAAAAAGGGCTGGGGTTTTTTTCTTTTTCATTTGTTTACAGGATGGTTGTTTTTTTTTGTCTGTTTTTGGGTGAAACATGTGGGAGCTGGTTTGAGACAGACTGTCTGTCTGTGTAGCAGACGGCCCGGTCTAATTGGGCTGCTGCGAGTCGAAGTGGAGATGAGGGACAGCAGGTGCCTTTGATTGGGAGCTTTTTTTACTCTCAGCCACCAGCTGTGGACCTGACTGTCATAAACAACCACTGATGTGCATCACATCCTCTGTCGCTGTCAATATCTATACAGTATTTCTAATTAATGGCCCCTTTAATGTTACAGGGCAGGCAAAGGACAAATTACAACTATGTAGTGAGATGCTTGTAAAAGGTCCCTCTCTGATTAAGGCAATATTTAACAGTGCCCGTACTTCTTTATCTTCCTTTTCCTTTTGTAGGAGGCCTATATTGCAGACCTTGATGCTAAGAGTGGAGCCAGCCTCAAACTCACTCTCCTTAATCCGCGAGGCAGAATCTGGACCATGGTGGCAGGCGGCGGTGCCTCAGTGGTGTACAGGTACTCAGTCATAGTGCTAACATACACACTAGAATTCATGGCTCTCAAGACTAAACAATCTTGTTTAGCCTAAACAATCTCTAGTATTGATCACCATTAAATTCATTCCTCTGTGCATAATTGGGTTTAGCATTAGGGGAGAATGCCAGAGATGCAGTAGGGATACTGATAGTGCAGCAGTTTAGACTCTGCCCATTCAGCTGCCAGCTAAATTGGATTCCTAGATGTTGCTGTTTTACTGAGAGTCTGGAAGAAAGAGCGGTGCCTCACTCGCTCTGCCGTCTGTCGGGGGTGTAGAGCGGGACTTGCAGACCCATCAGGCGTGACTAATTATTTCCCCTGTGCACTGTTAAGTTGTATCTGTTTACAGTGCAGTATTAAATGAATAAAGGGGATGTGTTCTGGAGGTCTGTTTTTCCTGAAGTTGTGTTTATTGTTGCAGCTGAAAATGCCCCATATAAGAAAAACAGAGCTGTGGTGGCTTTTGTTGATCTGTTTCTTCTCTCTTTTCTATCTCTTTACTAATATGAAACACCCTCAGTGACACAATCTGTGATCTTGGTGGGGTTAACGAGCTGGCCAATTATGGAGAGTATTCTGGAGCACCGAGTGAACAGCAGACCTATGATTATGCCAAGACCATCCTATCTTTGATGACGAGAGAAAAGCACTCTGATGGTGGGAATTGTGTAAACTTTCTTACTTTCTTTCTTTCTTTTTGTATTATTAACAATATTATTTCTATATGAAATTATTTCCATATTAATGTGTTCCAGGGAAGGTTTTGATCATCGGAGGAAGCATTGCAAACTTCACAAATGTTGCAGCAACATTTAAGGTACAGTGTGCATTTTGTTTGCATGGTGTTAATATATCAATATTTCTTATTTAATGTCATGTGTTAATTGAGCATCTCTGTCATTTTGGACAAAGGGAATTGTTCGTGCTATCAGAGATTATCAGGAGCCACTGAAGGAGCATGAGGTCACTATTTTTGTGCGGCGTGGAGGCCCCAACTACCAGGAAGGTCTAAGAGTGATGGGAGAAGTTGGTATGTTTTTCCTGATATGTTATAAATTTAGGCTTCATATTGTAATCTATCAATGTAGTCTTGAGACTAAGCACCTGCCAGCTGTTACACACCAGTTAATTCGACTCTGGACCTTTCTCCACAGGAAAGACCACTGGCATCCCAATTCATGTCTTTGGCACAGAAACCCACATGACTGCCATTGTTGGCATGGCGCTGGGCCACAGGCCAATTGCCAACTTGCCTCCTATTGCTGCCCACACTGCCAACTTCCTCCTCAACTCCAACAGCAGCACATCGGTATGACACGCACTGGCCTGATAAACCATCAAGATATTCTTGCAATTCACTGTGAAGTGTATTTACATCAGTCAGTTCCCTCAAATGTAGTTTACATGCCACAGCCTCTGTTTCAGTCACTATTATCTTGTCCTCATAGTGAACCAGATTACACAGTTCCCTGCATTGCTCTTATATAAAGAGCATTGCAGGGATCTGTGGGCTGCTTTAGTCGTGAGTCTGCAGTTGGAAGTGCAAGGTTGTAGCGCGCCGCTCGAGGCATCCATTAAAAATGTGCAGTGCAAGATTTCAGCAAAGGAAGTGCGTGTGTGTGCATGCGTGTTTGTCTTTGCTTCAGATGTGCGCTACAACAGAAGAACAAAGTGAAATGAAATATGAATTGTCCTACTGGGAATTGGTGTGAATAAATGTGAAGTACTAGGAAACTGGGGTCATCAACAAAAACTATTTTTAATAGATTTCCAGGACACATGCACATCAAGTGCACGTGATCTCAACTTATCCAGCGGCTCTACCATTTATCACAGCTATCACAGCTAAAGCTGTCCCAACTAGGCTGTCCTTACTGAGAAACGGTTTTTTTTGAGATATGCGAGGGGAAAAAAAGTTACTTTTTTCTTCTTCTTTTTTTTAATACTTTCTAGACGCCAGCGTCCAGCAGGACTGCTTCTTTCTCTGAAAACAAAGGCAAAGTTGAGAGTTCACCAGCAAAGAAGCCTAAAACTGGAGCCCCCGTTGGTGAGAAACACCCCGACCATGAGATTACACAATAAATGCCAAAACCTTTCTGTTTGTCATACTTGCATCCATCACTGGATAGTAGGTAGAGGCGTTGTATGTATGCACAGTTGACTATAGGTATTATAGCGCCCTCTGTGGTCAGCAATAGGTTTCTGCAAAAACTATTTCCATGCTTCCACTTTCAAATTTCATTTTCATATTTTCCAAACTCTGGGAGAAAATGGAGGTTACAGTGTTTTAATACAAGGACTCACATATCGATTTTCTTTTTTTTTATGTCCAATTTTATTTAAACACTGCTAACAGTGCCACCAGTATCTAAGAGTTTTCCTTTCTCTGTAGGAAAGGCAACTACCCTCTTCACTAAACACACAAAGTCGATAGTGTGGGGCATGCAGACTCGTGCAGTACAGGGCATGCTGGACTTTGACTATATCTGCTCCAGAGCTGAGCCATCTGTCGCAGCTATGGTCTACCCATTCACGTATGTATGCTGCGCCTGTCCTCTTTAGCTTATGTCTGCTCTCAGTGTAATGCCTGTTTGCTGTAATATAACTGTAAGAACCTCTGAGAGTACTGTACTGTTTTTACTGTTTCTTATATGCGCTTCTTGTTGGCTGCCTTCCAGTGGAGACCACAAACAGAAGTTCTACTGGGGACATAAAGAGATCCTCCTCCCTGTGTATAAGAACATGAGCGATGCCATGAAGAAGCATCCAGATGTAGATGTGCTCATCAACTTTGCCTCTTTGCGCTCAGCCTTTGATAGCACCATAGAGACCATGCAGTACCCACAGGTACCCAGCTGCAGCATCTGTGGCCTATAAAAACTTTAATAAGGGCTTCACAGTTAAGCATTTCTCTTTGTTTGTCTTCAGATTCGCACCATTGCCATCATTGCTGAGGGAATCCCTGAAGCCCACACTAGGAAGCTTATCAAGACAGCAGATGAGAAGGGTGTCACAATCATTGGACCAGCAACTGTTAGTTTTTCTTCACCTCTAATGAGAATTTACCAGATCTTTCTGTTTTGTTGTTGTTTAATTTAAGTAAACCACCTTTTGTTTTGTTTTGTCCAGGTTGGAGGAATCAAGCCAGGCTGTTTCAAGATTGGGAACACGGGAGGCATGCTGGATAACATCCTCGCCTCCAAGCTGTATCGCCCAGGAAGCGTGGCCTATGTGTCCCGATCAGGTGGCATGTCCAATGAACTTAACAATATAATCTCCCGCACCACTGATGGTGTATTTGAAGGTGTGGCCATCGGTGGGGATAGGTACGTATGTGCTTTTTGTCTCTGGATTTAAATGTGGTGTGAGCTGGGACTTAATTCATAATTCTTCTTCAGATACCCAGCCTCTGTGTTTACGGACCATGTGCTGCGCTACCAAGACACTCCTGGAGTAAAGATGATTGTCGTACTGGGAGAGGTGAGGAGTAAATGATCACACACTGGTGCTCGGAGCTTTAAACTGTTGTTGGCTGCTAATTTTTGACTGTCTGTGCCCTTTAACAGATTGGTGGCACAGAAGAATACAAGATCTGCCAAGCTATCAAACAGGGCAGAATCACAAAGCCAGTTGTGTGCTGGTGTATTGGCACCTGTGCCACTATGTTCTCCTCAGAGGTAAGAGGGCAGATTTAGTGTTTGATGCATATTAAACAGATGAATAATGAGACATTCCAGAAATTAATTGTCGCTTTAATTGTGTTCTTCAATGTGTTACACAATGTGTTCAGGTTCAGTTTGGCCACGCAGGAGCTTGTGCCAACCAGGCCTCTGAGACAGCAGTAGCTAAGAACAAAGCTCTGAAGGAAGCTGGTGCATTTGTCCCTAAAAGCTTTGATGAGCTTGGGGATATCATCAAGTCAGTGCATGTTCATGAGGGGAGGGTTAATATTCTTATGCAGTGATTCTTGATCTAAATGTAATGAATTTTTGTGTTATTTTTAATTTTGCAGCTCTGTATATGATGACCTAGTTGCGAAGGGAGTTATTCAGCCAGCTGAAGAGTTGCCTCCTCCCACTGTACCAATGGATTACTCGTGGGCAAGAGTGAGTATGCCAGAAAGAATAACTTTTTAAGAGCAGAGCTTTTAAAGGGTGTGATGGCAGTTGTTTTTCATTTTTCTCATTGATTTTGCCTTTCAGGAGCTCGGTCTGATCCGTAAGCCAGCTTCTTTCATGACCAGTATCTGTGACGAGAGAGGTCAGGAGCTCATTTATGCTGGCATGCCCATCACTGAGGTCTTCAAGTCAGAAATAGGTCTTGGAGGCACTCTGGGGCTGCTTTGGTTCCAGAGGAGGTCAGGCTTGTAACTCAGCCATAAATAGCTCCGGAAAAATCTTTGAACTATGCAACCTTTTTATGATATTTCATCATCTTTGTGTGCAGGTTGCCGAGGTATGCCTGCCAGTTCATCGAAATGTGTCTAATGGTGACTGCGGATCACGGCCCTGCTGTTTCTGGTGCACATAACACTATTGTATGTGCCCGAGCTGGCAAAGACCTCATCTCCAGCCTCACCTCAGGCCTTCTCACCATTGTAAGACACCCACACCTGTCTTTGATCTATTTACTTGATTTATATAGCTATAAAACTCAACCACCTAAATGTAATCTATGTCTTTCTTCCTGTAATTGTTTTTTTAGGGTGACCGTTTTGGAGGCGCTTTGGATGCTGCAGCAAAGCAGTTCAGCAAAGCATTTGATAGCGGCATGCTGCCCATGGAATTTGTGAACAAGATGAAGAAGGATGGCAAGCTGATCATGGGCATTGGACACAGAGTCAAGTCGGTGAGTACCATGGCTACTTAACGTGTGAGCATCTGATACAGCATCGTGTTATTCTGGCTAAACTAAGTATTTAAACTAAGTATTTAAAAATACAAGAAATATAGATGTGCACCATATCTAATAATTCTTAGATCATGAGCTAATACTGATAGAGGAAGACAGCAATTTTGACTGGGGAGAAGAGATGTTGAAATTGAATTGTCTGTGCTTTTCAGATTAACAATCCAGACATGAGAGTCCAGATCTTAAAGGACTTTGTGAAGCAGCACTTTCCTTCCACACAGCTGCTGGACTATGCTCTGGAAGTAGAGAAAATCACCACCTCTAAGGTAAGCTTGGAATAGCTTTTGGAAAAAACTAATTTCTTACATTATAGGGGACTTATTCTAATTATTTCCAGCTCCAAATTGTTGGACTCTACCAAAGTAGCTTTGCATAATTCGGTTCAAAATAATCTTTATCATCCAGGGCCTTGGTGCTGCCAGTCCATCGTCTGTCTGAAACAAGTGATTTTAGCTTCTCTTCACTTTTAACGTCACAATCACTTTAAGCGGAGCTTCGTCTCATTGGCTGCCTCCATAATCAATGAAATTTGGGATATCACCTGTTTTTCACATCTGTATCCAGCAAAGAGCAGAAAAAACTGAAGCTGAATGTTTAGAGCCGTCTAAGCGTTTGGCTAACACAGATTATATTCTAACGTCATTATTTGAAACTCTTATCATGTTTAATATTAGTATTTCTTATTGCAATAATGTCTTTATATAGAGGGAGAAAGGGAGATTAATGAAGGGTATGAAAAGTCCACTTGTAATGATTTCATGCTGTGCTTGTGTTGCCAAGAAACCCAACTTGATCCTGAATGTGGATGGCTTCATTGGTGTGGCTTTTGTGGACTTGCTCAGGACTTGTGGTGGATTTACACGGTGAGCCAGTTTCTCTTTAAAGTTTAAACCAGGTTTCTCTTAAGAATGGCACTTTAACTAGAATTAAGGGATAGCATAGTTTTTCTTCCAGGCTTTTTAATAAAATGATTACTTAGGAAGATGTGCTGAAACTTGTTGGGATTATGTGACAGAAGCATGTCTATATTATTAAAAAGCCCTTTCCCATGTCTATCACACATTCACAGGGATGAAGCAGATGAGTTTGTGGAAATTGGTGCTCTGAATGGCATCTTTGTCTTGGGTCGCAGTATGGGATTCATTGGTGAGTTAACTGCGTGCATGGCAATGTCTGCAAGACAGCAAACACTTCTACTTTGTATGATAACCAGTCTTTGTTTTATATATCTCCTTAAGGACACTACCTGGATCAGAAGAGGCTGAAACAGGGTCTGTATCGCCACCCTTGGGATGACATCTCCTATGTACTCCCAGAGCACATGTCTATGTAATCAGAGGGACTAAACCGTATAGCAGCAGCTTTTGGTCCCTCACCCTGCCATCAGTACCCCTGCACATACTGTGACATCATCTCAAATCAGTGCCATAACATAGGGAAGATGTTACGATTAATATAGCTGTAAATGCAAAGTGGTGGGAAGAATTTAGTTCTGGAAACCTGTCAGCGCTGCTCACATGATTAATATATAACCTGCTAAACTGTGAACCTTCCGTCTTAAAATGTGTTTTGGAGAGCAATCGGATGAGGTATACAGTGGAGGAAGTAAACAGAAAGTTACTGATGACTAGAGAAGTACTGTTGTTTACCCCCAAATACTACATCAATATATTAAAGTAGCATGTGTGTCTGTGCGACAGTGTTTCATGTTTCTGTGCTGCTCTCTTCACTGTGCCATTTACTACAAGAAGTGAACATGTAGTGCAATAATTCCTATATAATATCAGAACATACTGTACATCAGATCTGTATTTGTGTACATATGAATTAATACTTAACTAACCAAATGGTACAAGAATGTTATAATTTGCATTTTCTGTACTGCCTTTGACACAGTAGTAATGAGTGATGCTTGTAGTCTGCTTACTGTGGGTGATGGGACCATTTTTATGAGTCATTCCTAGCAGGTGCTGCCATTTGCAGTGTGCAGGAAATGTTCTCTCCCAGCTGGTACAATATGAGGGAGTATTTTTTGAAAGCATTAAAATGGTCAGATAATGTTATTAGTCATAAGAACAACTAATATGTAATTAGTGGGGGGTTTTGTTTTGTTTTTCCTCTTACCTGGTTATTTAAGAGGCTGCCATTGCATATGATAAATGAGACACAGTTAGTAACAAAAAGCTAAATTATTAATAAAAATATCTTTGAGCCAGCACAATTGGGGTTAAATAAAATGTATTATTTTTGTATAATTAATGAGGTATGGTTTTTATTCATTCTGATTTTTAATTCTTCTGAGAGCAGTTTTGAAGGTTGTTTCATGTCTGGTGTGAAAATCTTTTCAGAATGACTGAACTTCTTTAGAAAAAAAAAAAAAAAACAAGGTCCAAAAGGGTATCTATATGTGGCAGGCATCGCCAGTGTTATCCATTATGCAGTTGTGGTTAAAAAGTGTATCAAATCTGTGAGAAACCAGAAACGTGTTTTCAGTGTCTTCATGTTTTATGTTTTTTATCTTTGAGTGCGAGCTAAGTGTTCCTGTGTACTGATTTGTTGTATGTTGATAACGGTATAATTAAGTACATTAAAATGTAATCATTAAAATGTATCAATGCATGTGTTTGTCTTTATTCACAAGGGGGCGCCAGAACCCCACGGGATTAGTATCTCCTCCAGGAATGGGGATTGTTTTCTTCTTTAGTCTTAAGAGCTTTTGTGAAAACCTTAACATCTAAACTTAAAGAAGCCTAGTATCCTTCTGTTTTTAAGCTGTTGAGACTAATGTGTTCTGGGTGACATTACATGGACTTTTCCCTCAAAGGTAAACGTGTAATTTAGGATATTCGGAAGCCACTGACTGGACAACGGCTGAATTCTCCCAATTATTTAGTAAAATATTACACAAAAGCGAAAAAAAGGAAAAAAAAAAAGTTTTTTAAATCACTCCAGCTGTTTTGAGGTACACACGTGTAGACAGGGTTATGAACGTGTCGACGTGTCGTGAGACAAACGCAGTTACATCATGACTTAATAACAAGGTAGCGTCACTGTGCATTTGAGTGAATTAGGTATCTTACTGTCCTGTATAATCACTGCGAGTTTACTTGCTTTGCCCTGCTGAGAGTTAATTGTATCGCCTTTAGATGTAATTCTCAAATCACAGAGACATTATTAGACGGGGACGTTTTTGTTTCAGATAAATGCATTGAACGGCTTTCATATCCACTGCGAACGAACGATGTTAAAGTGATTACATACATATTTGGTGTATTTACAGCGTGCTTGCTCTGAGCCTGCAGACTGAAAACAATTATGTTTTCCTGTCCATGTGTAGACAGGTAGGAACGCCTTTTACTCAGTGCGCATGTCAGTGACTCTGTTTATTTACAAAAAAAAGCCGCGCAAAAACAACACTTTAAACTTAATGTATGACAGTACATGTTTAAAAAAAGGCCACCAATTTTTTGCCTATTGCATTAAGTAATTGAAAATTTATCCATTGTGTCCTGTGTGTTAAATGCTATCATGTGCTGCACAGACCAGAACGCTAAAACTAACAATAAAAATAACCTCTTTTTTATTTTAAACTAAGGTCTTTTCTTCTAAAATTAAACTAAAAGCTGAAAAAAGGGGTGATTTGAAGCGGCTTTTTAAAAGTAAACCGTCCCCTTTTCGCCCCGGAAGTGACGCAACGAATACGAAACGCACTTCATTGTTCTCCGCTTATATGTCTCCCCCGTTCCGTAGCTAGTTTACTTCATTTCCCACCACTGCTCATCTCCAGTGCTGGCAGTAGAATGGCAGCGGCGGCACCCAACCCGGAGGACTCCACCAGGAGCAGCGGTAGCAGCGGCACCAGCACGCCCAGTGCGCTTGCTGGAGACGGAGACGCGGAAGAGGCCGAGGAATTCACCTCGTCTTCCCACTGCTCGGAGCTTTCGCGGCGGCAGAACGAACAGAGAAAGCAGGGCTTATTCTGCGACGTGACGCTGGCCTTCAGCAGCGGGGCGGCAATGGGCAGCCTCCAGAGCTGTGAGTTTTCAGCCCACAGGTCTGTCCTGGCTGCGGCCACCGACTACTTCACCCCACTGCTGGGGGGACAGTTTTCCGAGTCCTTGTCCGGACGGGTGGAGATGAAGGAGTGGAGCTCAGAGCTGGGGCCGGACCCCGAGACGGTGGAGAGTGTTATCCAATATATGTATACGGGAGAAATACGCGTCAGTACCTGCAATGTGCATGAAGTTCTGGAGCTGGCTGATAGGTATGATCAGTTTAATTTCGCATCTTTTCTTTTTTCTTTCAGAAAGATGAATTAACTATGCATGCTATGCATTGGGCCTTCCGTAGAAGTATTGTTTTTGCGCACTGCTTGCAGAAAGAAGAGTAAACAGAATGCTTCTATGTAGTTGGCAGGAAATTTCATTGTCTAATCTTTACTGTATTTCCTTTGTTTACTTTGTCAGGTTCCTGCTGCTGCAGCTAAAAGATTTCTGTGGAGAGTTCCTTAAGAAGAAGCTGAGTCTGACCAACTGTGTGGCCGTCCACAGCTTGGCTCACATGTACACCCTGGACCAGCTGGCTCTGCGGGCTGCAGACATGATCCGCCGCAACTTCCACAAGGTTATCCAGGATGAGGAGTTCTACACGCTCCCCTTTCACCTGGTGCGTGACTGGCTATCAGATGCAGAGATAACCGTGGATTCTGAGGAAGTGCTTTTTGAGGCTGTGGTGAAGTGGGTGCAGAAGAACCCAGAGGAGAGAAGCCGCTATTTTGAAGAGCTGTTTCGTCTCCTGAGGCTACCCCAGATCAAGCCCACCTACCTGACCAGAGTGGTGAAAAATGAACGACTGGTGGCATCCAACGAGGCCTGCCTGCGGCTGGTGTCGGAGGCAGTAGAGGGCCATGCTATTAGATTTGAAAACCTCAAGTCGGCTGATATGGAGTTCTGGTCTTCGCACATGGCCTCCTTTCAGCCTCGCTTTGGTCAAAATATGGACGTTATCATGGTAGTAGGTGGAGTTTCGGAGGGAGGCGACTACCTTAGCGAATGTGTGGGCTACTTTATTTATGAGGACCGTTGGGTCAATCTGCCTCACATCCATAACCATCTGGATGGCCACGCCATCGCTGCCACAGAGTCCCATGTCTATGTAGCTGGTTCTATGGAGCCAGGCTTCGCTAAGACTGTGGAACGTTACAACCCTAATCGTAACACCTGGGAGCAGGTGAGCAACTTGACCACACGCAAGCACTCCTTTGGCCTGACTTGCATTAAGGATATCTTATACAGCATTGGTGGCCATGGCAACTTCAGCCCGGGTTTCAAGGATGTCAGTGTGTATGAGCCAGAGCAGGACAAATGGCACAATCTGGAATCTGCTCCCAAAATCCTGCGAGACGTGAAGGCAGTGAGTGTGGAGGACCGCTATGTTTATGTCACAGCACGCACACCCGTCGATACAGATAATGATGACGGATTGAAGACGGTGACCACTCGTTATGACACAGAGAGTCGCCAGTGGCAGGATGTTGACTCCCTGCCTCTTATTGACAACTACTGTATCTTCCAGATGGCTGTGGCATCCACTAACTTCTACCACACAGCCTCCTGCTGTCCTAAAAGCTACACAGTTCGGGATGAGGTTGCCAGGCAGAAGATTAGTGTGCGCATCTCTGATGAGATCCTAGAAAGCCTTCCACCAGAGGTAACCAGCATTGAGGGTGCTGCAATCTGCCACTTTGATGAGGATGTTTTCATCATCGGGGGCTGGAAGAACAGCGACGATGTAGACAAGCAGTATCGCAAGGAGGCCTACCGTTACTGCGCCGAGAGGAAGCGATGGATGCTGCTGCCACCCATGCCTCAGCCTCGTTGTCGAGCTACTGCCTGCCACGTCCGCATCCCGTACCGCTTCCTGTACGGCTGCCAGCGGTACCCCATGCCCCAGAACCTTGCCCGCCAGCGAGATCGCATGCAGCAGATGCAGCAGCTTCACCGGCGCACCCTCACCCTGCGCCGGCAGCTCCAGTCGCAGATAGAGTGTTGAACTGTCCACTGTGACTTTGTCCGAAGATTTCCTGCAAACCCCAATTTCAATGCAGCTACCATTGTCCTCCACCTTGAGTCATTCACTAAAGCAGGTCCTGTTGCTCTCGTCCTGGATTTCATTAATCTGAACTGTGTGTCATCAGCTTTCATGCTGTGTTTGTGTTATTGGCTCATTTGTGGAAAGCCATGAAATATGTGGGCAGGTGTGTGCTGTCCTGCTGGTGGTCCGTGAGGAGGGATGTGATTATAAATATGTGAATAAGAGTGTTATAGTGCAGCCAACAACTAAATATCTGTTAGCCATTTATGTTGTTAAAGAGGCTGTTTATCTCTTTATACGTAAATAGTATAAAAGCTGTATATGTATACATTTCTATGGATATTTTACATTCCTTTATTGTACTGGAAGACAACGTGGCATTAGTAATAATTGCATTCCTGCATTCTTAATGAATTCTCATTCCATTGTAACACTGTGACAATCGGTCCAAACCCCTTGTATCTTAACTGCTCTGTTACTACGGCTTTGCTTGTTACTGTACAGGCACAAAAACTAAATATGAATTAACACGAGGAGGTTGTTAATCATAAAATCCTGTAGACTAGTTGTAGACAGTTATATATTTGTGTGACTTTTCTTGCTCATGTAACAATAGTAATGTTTCTCCAAGTTTCTGACGAGGTGAAAAGATGAGAGGACCGTAATATCCCAAAATATGTGATAAGATGCAATGAAATCATTCCTTTGAGTAAGCTAACATTGAAACAATCTGCTCTGCAACTGCATTAAGGACCAATCAGCAGCAGCAGCTTAATCATTCCTTTTTTTTGCACTTTGGTTATCTATTGCCCAGTGCATTCCCATTCATTCAAAAAAGACATATTTAATCTTTATGAGTGTGGGAGGATGTGTAGGGCTTGGTTATCACTCTGCAAAGAATGGGAAAAGCTTCTGTGGAACGCCACTCTTTAACTTCTAAAGTCTTTAAAAAGTTGCCATTGCACTTTGAATTGTTTTGTTTATTTCATATCAGACGAGCTGATTGTATATTGCAAAGGCTTTGTTTTAGCTGTCTTGCAGTCAGTGAGATTTAATCTTCTTGGAAACAACAATGTTATCATTGCTGGTGGATTAGTTTCCAACATTAAATGTCTTGTAAAAGTTTGGTGTATATTGGAGTTCTGTCTGTCGGAAGACTCCTTTTACCCGCCAAAGAGACGTAGAAATGAGAAAAACAAGGAATAAAACTTTAAAACAAAAAAGGGATTGTTTTATGAATGTGTTGTGACTGACATTCAGAAATTCCCACTCAAGCAGCGCTAATTATAGCAGTATAGGGTTACGGAGCGGAGAAATGATATTCATTTCCACTTTATGACCTAACATAAATGGCACTGCAAATATTAACTGAAATAAGCTATGTAATTTGCTTTGCATGTGATAGTCAACACTTTGTGTCCTTGGATGTATGAAATGCTAATGTCATCTCTTGAAATTAAAGTTGTTTTGTAAGACATTTGCTTGCTTTGCATTACTGGATTGTGTACAGTCCAAAAG